CTTTGCTTCGCTTAGTTGTTTTGTGACTTCACTTTTCTCCTTTTTTGCGTCCGTTTTCGTGCCACGCACGAAAATAGACGAGCTCCCAATCTTCAAGTTTTCGCCTTTTTGCAATAACTTGATATCTTTTGCTCCATTATCATTCAAGCTATGCCTACAAATAAGAAATATGTAATGAGTATAATTCACTTCAAATATCATGTAATCTCTCGCATTTCACGCGGAAAATTAGATGAAAATACACTCAAAATCATACACTTTTGGCCATTCATCACCGCCCCACACTTAGACTTTTGCTCGTCCTCGAGCGAATAAAATTATGTGCTTAGGCAAGAAATACATTTCAAAACATACTCAAGCATCACATCAATGACAATGGTTTATATCAACCCTTAAAACCTAGCATAAACACTCTTCATACTTTTCCTCAAGCTTTACATCATGCCAAGACTAATTAAAGTAATTGTGTGACTCTCTCTAACACCCTAGCCTCAAAATCTGACTCCAATACATCCCAAACTATGACTCGCTTCTTGTGCCAACTCAAAAACCAAGGCCTTTACCAATCTTTTGCAAGTCATGTGCCCTCACCAATAAACCAAAGAGAGAAAGTAGTCCACACACTCAAACATGAATTTAAGTATATTTTAAGGACTCTCCAATTGAATGAATTCGCTCACTCTCGCAAAAATAACTCATATGCCACCCAAGTTTATACCATAGGCTTGCCCGTAGTGTAAGAGTTGACTAAATTAAGTTCGCACAGACTCGGATCAAGTAGGACTTTGTAGGTTGTAATGTAGGCTAAGGGACGGGTATGATATATTTGGAAAAATAGTGACTATCCCTCCTAAGCATTTTAATACACTACACTTCACTTTCAAACACCTTCTCATCACGACCAAGTCAATATCATGCCACGAACCAATACATGATTAGGCCTTTCTTCTTTAAGAATATCATCATGTAGATGCTTACTGGCCCGGATCAATACATGGGAGGTGTGCTACCAAATCTATTTTTTTTCACTCCCCCTAATTTTTGGTGTTTCCAGCTAGTAATTCATTTAAACACAACGCGCCTTCTCGGCCTTCCTATGGTTCCACTCAAAAGTTATCCGGTCTCTCTCTTTACTCTTATAGCGACTTAAGTGCTTTTGGAGGTAAAGGGTGAACAAGATTTGATTAAGAACAAAGGGAATTTAGCTTGTAATGTGGGTGCCAATGAAAAGGTTTACAGGCTCAAAAGGGTTGACTATGGGTAATATTAGCACTGATTAACAAAAAAAATGGCTCAATGGTCAATCAAAGAAATGCCTATATCATCTCCTAGTCTAACGATACTTAATCATTTCGTTTCGACTCACACACAGGGCAAGTTCTAGACTAGATCGGGATGGCACATAATACAACTCAAACTTCTTACCTCGCACAATGCACATGACCTACTTAAGACGGCTCAGACCCGGCTCTCAAGTTAACGCAGCTAAGCACAGTCATCATAAAACTAATCCATATAGGAAGTACATAACAAGAGTCAAAAGATGAGCCCAAGAGTTAGAGTAAAGTCACATATATTCTCAAGGCATATAGTCACAGGCCTCAAGAAGAAAGTACTCAGCACAAATGCTCAAGCTCTAAGCCCCAACATAAAACATGTCCAATAAAACATAGATACTCAAGTTCTTCCCATTCTATTATCAGTTGAAAAAAAACAAAAAAGAAAAAAAGAAGAAAACAATCTGTTTATAATTTTCTTTAGACTTTAAACCCTCAAGAAAACTGTCTACGCAATCCATCGTCGGACAAAGTCCACAATTTCTTTTACAAAGTTTGAGAAAGGAAAAAAAACTACCTAAGACTACCCGGTTCAAGAAAATGGCATCCTCGGGAAAGAACCGTGGTTTAAAGAAAACCTGGGATTACGCCAATAAAAATCTGACTACAATTATACAATTACAATGGCCTTGAGTGTGATCATGACAAAATGTATCACTAGCAATTGAACACATGCCACAAAAATCAAATTCTGACACCCCCACCCCCACTTAAGAGAGTGCACTATCCCAGTTGCACAATATCACAGAAGCAAAAGAGAAATATCCAATAGTAGAGTAGGTGTCAGAAACTCCCTCATCATATCTCGGGGGGGGGGGGGGAGGGACCCGTAGCAAACCTCGGTCCGCAATGCTGATGGATCCTCCAATACGACACCAGCTGTGTCGAAGGCTGCTATCATCTCACCCTCCCTAGTCGGAGCAGCATCCCCAATAGCCATTTCTCGAACCTCCGTCGGCTCCTCTGTAGCAGTGCTATCAGTAGCACTCAAAGCAGACAATTCCGCATCCCCCGGCTCCTCAAAGTCTGTCTGGACTCCAATGTGCCGTACCTCTCGCTGCCCACGAACAGCCTCGAGCTACACAGTGAACTGCTCTCGCATACACCGATCTCTAGTCTCCTGTGTGGCTAGCAAAGCACGGCCTCGTGCCTCCAACTCTGCTCGCAACTGCTGAAGTGCGCCCTCCATATCAGTGGTGCGCTCGCCATGGCCCTTTTTCTTTATAGTCGCTTCTGATGGGTCCTGAACAGAGCAAATATCATGGACCACCGACTCGGTGCTTCCACATATCTCATCTTCCTTTTTAGTCAATTTGTATTTAGCAAGCAACGCAGTCAAAGTATGCACAAAATAGAGTGTCCACTGCATGTTCTTTCTGGTCTTTGCCATTTGACTTCGCAAGATGGCTCCAACGTTCGCCGCAATACCTGTCATCAGGGCATATACCAAGAATACTCGCTTCCAAATCACAACAGACTTGTGTGTTGCTGGCATGAATCTGTTGCAAACCCAATTTAACCATATTCGTGCCTCCTTGTTCATGTACGTCTTTGCCAACCCATCAGACGCTCGCCAATCAGCTGGTCCAGATCCCCCACACAAGACCTCAAGTATGTGGTTCACATTCGGTCTTGCCTCTCTCCTCCAGTACTCTGAATCGGACTGAGCAGCTATGCGGTAGTACTTATTTATTGCCGAGGCAGAGATATTAACTTGAGTCCCACGAACCCAAACAATGTCATTGCCCCTGTCAGGGTCCCAGTTAGCATAAGTGTGCAACCAAGGTACAAAGGTCTACTTCAACTTAATTACATTGATATGAGGCTACTTAGCATCATTGAAAATCAAGTGGGTGGGACGACGCACACGTCGTGCACGTCGTGCCTAAGTTGGTCGCGGGTTGACATTTGTTCTAAAACGAATGCAATTTAAGTGCAAAGACCCCCAAACGGCTACCCCACACTCAAGAGATGTTCATATTACCAAAACAATGAGTCTTGCTACTCAGGCTTCACAAAACCTATAAAATTCTCATTCAGGCAATTTTTCGAACATCTTATATGCATAATTTCTACCCTCATGTATCAATGCAAGTAACATGTGTTTTGCCCTCCCAATTTGAGTGAGGTGGAGGGAATTGTAGTTTACACCTCACTATGAATAACAACCAACAAAATCTAGAGAAAACTATGCTCCAAAATTCAAAATTCAATTACTTTACCTAAAATAAACCGTAACAAAAAATTTCAAACAAGAAAATAACTACAAACTGATGCTGGGTGGGGGTGGGGGGTGGGGGGGCGAAACTGGGTGAAAACAAAACAAAGAAAACGTAAAACTGGGGGAAACTGAGAATGAAACTTGGAGAAAACAAAACAAAAACCTAAAAAGTAAAAGAACAAAATAAAAAAAAATTAAGCAAAACACTCACCTGAGCGTTGAGGGGGAAAGGCAGAACGAGGGGTGGGGATTGGGGATAGAGGAATTGACGGGGTGGGTGTGAGGGAGATGAAACAGGGGTTTGGGGTATTAGAAGTAATATACGGGAGTAACTATTAGCTTTGAAGAAGAAAAAGAAAAAAAAATAAAATTAACCATTCGCGAAGTGGGGCGGGCGATGCCCCCACTTTACTGTTTTTTTCTTGTGTGGATGGCCTGGGCCGCGTCTGCCTTCGCACTAGACGCGGATTTAGACGAGCTCAGTGCTGGCCATTTTTTTAGCTGTTCTAATTTAGCCACTTTTGGCCCTTTTTTTTATGATTTCTTCACCCAGAATCATTCCAATTTGCAAAATCTCATCCATGCAGCATCTATAAACATGTCAATATTTTCACAATTCAAAATCAAATACGAAAAATAAAGAAAACCACAAAAATTGGCTTGCCTCCCAACAAGCGCTGGATTTAACGTGGCGGCACGACGAATTACAACAAACCATTTGCATCCCAGGAAGCGCCTGATTTAACGTCGCGGTACGATGCAGGCTTTCATTATTTCTCTTCGCTAGCGTATTGGGGCTCTTCCAAAGATATCACAACTTTATCCCCCTTCTCTTCGACCATTCGAAGGTAATGTTTCAACCTTTGCCCATTCACTTTAAACTTATTTGTTCCATCTTCGGATTCAATTTCTACAGCTCCACTTGAGAACACTTGCACAACTCTAAATGGTCCTGACCATCTATAGTTCAACTTACCCGAAAACAATCTTAATCTCGAGTTGTATAACAACACTAGATCTTCGGGTTTGAAGTTTCGATCTAGAATGTGCTTATCATGCATCATTTTAATCCTTTCTTTGTACAATCTTGCATTCTCAAATGCATAGAACCTGAATTCCTCGAGTCCATGTAACTCTGTGACTCTACTTGTGCCTGCGGTCTCCATATCTAAATTCAACTGCCATAGTGCCCACAAGGCTTTATGCTCAAGCTCTACCGGAAGATGGCATGCTTTTCCAAATACCAACTTGTATGGTGACATACCAATTGGAGTTTTAAACGATGTGCGGTACGCCCATAATGCATCATCCAGCTTCTTTGTCCAATCAGTCCTTGTCGCATTCACTATTTTGGTCAGGACACTTTTGATTTCCCTGTTGGACACTTCCACTTGCCCGCTCGTCTGTGGGTGATAAGGTGTGGCAACCTTATGGCGAACTCCTTATTTTTCTAACAGCCTTGCGAATGCTCTATTGCAAAAATGGGTTCCACCATCACTGATTATAGCTCTCGGGGTGCCAAAACGCGTGAAGATATTTTTCTTTAGAAAGCCTGTCACTCCTTTGGCATCATTTGTTGGGAGAGCCACAGCTTCAACCCATTTGGAGACATAGTCAACTGCTACCAATATGTATTTGTTACCATACGAGCTGACAAGTGGCCCCATAAAGTCAATCCCCCACATGTCAAATACCTCCACCTCCTGAATTGTAGTCATCGGCATCTCGTGACATCGAGATATGTTGCCTGTCCTTTGGCACTCATCATAACTTTTCACCCAAGCATGGGCATCCTTGAATTTAGTTGGCCAATACAAGCCCGATTCCAACACCTTCGCCGCTGTCCTAATTCCTCCAAAGTGCCCACCATATGGTGAAGCATGGCAAGCCTGCAAAACAGAAGGTTGATCTTTATCGGGGATACACCTCCGGCTTATGTTATCTACACATATTTTAAAAAATAAAGGTTCATCCCAATAATAAGACCGACAATCGCGAAAGAACTTTTTCTTTTGAATTGAAGAGAGTTCATAAGGTACAATACCGCTTGCTAAATAATTAGCAATATCAGCATACCATGGCGTCTCCTCCATTGTCACGGCTAGTAACTGTTCATCGGGGAATGTCTCTGTTATATCTTCAACCTTTACCTTCTTTTCAGCTCCTTCCAACCTTGAGAGGTAGTCTGCTACTTGGTTATCTGTCCCTTTTCTGTCACGGATCTCCAGATCGAATTCTTGTAGCAAAAGAACCCAGCGAATCAAGCGTGGCTTTGACTCCTTCTTTGTTATCAAGTACCTAATTGCTGCATGGTCAGTATAAACAATAAATTTTGAACTAATCAAGTACGACCTGAATTTGTCGAATGCAAAAACTACGGCCAACATCTCCTTTTTTGTCACGGTGTAATTGAGCTGTGCACCACTTAGCGTTCTGCTTGCATAGTAAATTGGGTGCATCAGCTTGTCCTTTCGCTGCCCCAAGACTGCTCCTATAGCATAGTCACTTGCGTCGCACATGAGCTCGAACGGTTGCTCCCAGTTGGGTGCAACAATGATGGGTGCAGTCACCAGTCTCTTCTTCAGCTCCTCAAATGCCAACCTGCAACCATTAGAAAACACGAAGGGCAGATCCTTTTCAAGGAGTTTACATAAAGGGTTAGCAATCTTAGAGAAATCTTTCATGAATCGCTTATAGAACCCGGCGTGCCCAAGGAAACTTCTCACCGCCTTGGCCGAAGTGGGCGGTGGAAACTTCTCAATCAGGTCAACCTTAGCATGGTCGACCTCAATTCCTTTACTGGACATTCGATGCCCCAATACTATCCCTTCGTGTACCATAAAATGGCACTTTTCCCAATTCAGCACTAAATTTGTCTCCACACATCTTTTTAGCACTCTTCTTAAATTGCGAAGACAGTCTTCGAATGAATCCCCCACCATGGAGAAATCATCCATAAATACCTCCATAATATCTTCAACCATAGTGAAGATGGCTAACATATACCTCTGGAATGTAGCCGGTTCATTGCAAAGGCATTCTCCGAAAGGCAAAGATACCATACGGACAAGTAAAGGATGTTTTCTCTCTGTCTTTAGGGGCTATTGAGATCTGATTGTACCCCAAATATCCATCCAAGAAATGGAAGTGAGATCGCCCAACCAACCTGTCCAACATTTGGTCAATGAATGGCAAGGGAAAATGGTCCGCCCGGGTGGCTGTGTTCAATTTCTGATAATCCATGAGAATCCGCCACCCTCTGACTGTACGAGTCGAGATCAACTCGTTATTCTCATTTTGTGCGATCGTCATTCATCCCTTCTTCGGCATACACTGAACAAGGCTGACCCAATTGCTGTCAGAGATGGGGAAGATGATACCCGCATCTAACCATTTGATCACTTTCTTTTTCACCACCTCTTTCATATTCGGGTTCAGCCTTCGTTGATGTTCTCTAGAAGGTTTGTGCCCTTCTTCCAAGAGAATCTTGTGCATGCAAAAGGCTGGGCTGATACCCTTTATGCCTGCCATGGTCCAACCAATAGCAGTCTTATATTCCTATAACACCTATAAGAGTTGCTCTACCTGCACAGCTATCAAACCAGATGATATAATAACAGGTAAAGTAGAATTAAGCCCTAAGAAAGCGTACCTGAGGTGAGCTAGAAGCGGTTTCAAGTCCAACTATGGTGGCTCCTCTATCGATGGTTTCGCAGGTGGTGTTGCTCTTTCTTCTAAGCGCAGGGACTCGAACTGTGGTTCCCTTTTCCAGAACCCTTGACCCTCGAGGGCCATGACCCACTCCGCCAACTCTTCACCATCCATCTCTTCCAAATTCGTCAAACAGGCTTCTAACGGATCTTTGACATTAAGGGTCTCATCCTCCTCTTGCAGTATTACATCCACAACCTCCACTAGCGAGCAATTTACAAATTAGTTGGGTCTCCTCATAGACTGTTGAACATTGAATATTATTTCTTCATTATTCAACCTCATTTTTAACTCTCCAGTCTCACAATCAATCAATGCTCTCCCAGTGGCTAAAAAATGGTCTTCCCAGAATAATTGGTATCTCTTCATCCACTTGACAGTCAAGAATAACGAAGTCTGCAGGGAATACAAACTTCCCCACTTGAACAAGCACATCATCCAAAATTCGTATCGGTCTTTTGACTGTGCGATCAGCCAGTTGCAGTAACATTGAGGTCGGTCTAGCTCTGCCGATGCCCAGTTTTGTATAGATTGCCAAGGGCATCAAGTTGATACTGTCTCCCAAGTCACACAATGCTTTAACAAAAGCATAACTCCCAACGGTGCATGGGATAGTGAAACTACCCGGATCAGACAATTTTTTAGCCACAAGTCTTGTCAGTACCGCGCTGCAGGTCTGAGTCACAGTTACAGTAGACAGGTCCTGGAAGTCAATTTTTCGAGATATCAGGTTCTTCATCATTTTTGCATATCCTGGCATTTCCCTCAAGCATCCATCAGCGAAATATTTAATTGAATTTGTCTGAGCATTTCCATGAATTTCCCGTATTGATCATCTTTCTTTTGCTTTGCCAACCTCTGAGGGAATGGTGCAGGAGTCAACCTTTGCCCACTGCTTTGTGTCTTTTCTTTAATAGAAGCTTTTTCTACCACCTGTTCTAAGAGTTGTTCACTTTCCTTCTCCTTACCCTTGTCAACATGTGCCTGCTCAATTACAACCTCTGTGAGCTCTGCTGACTCGTCGGTCTCTAATGTCACTGAAGTAGTTGGCATTGTCTCTCTCCTAGATTGAGCAACTTCTTGCTCTCTGTCTAAATCCCTTCCATTCCTGAGACTCACTGCCATTAGCTGATTTGGGTTCTGCTCCGTTGGATTGATGTTTCTATCTGCAGGCAATGTTCCTTGTGGGCGATTGTTCAAGGCCATAGATAGCTGTCCCAATTGAGTTTCAATGCCTTTGATTGCCGAATCATGTGCAGCTAACTTTTCTTGCATCTTTCCATTTGTCCCAATGAGTTATTGTAGCATGCCCCTGATTTCTATCATGTTACTGTCCTACTGTTGATGAGGCGGTTGGTAGGCCAACTGTTGCTGGTGCTGCTAATTATAGCCATGCTGCCTTTGATAAGGCACGACTTGGCCTTCTGGTCATGTTCCCCCTGGATTGGTGTTGTGTTGTGGCTGGTTTGGTCTGTACTGCTGATTCTGAGGTCCCCATTGCTGCCCACCTTGCCTCCAACCTCTGAAATTATTGACATAATTCATGTCTTCTATGAAGCCCTGGTTGTCATTCTCTCCACTCTACGAGCACACGTATGACTGGTTTAAGCAGGGAGTGCATAAGCCTCCATTTGTCGTATCAACAATGTGCACCTGCTTCGTACCCATCTCATCAATTTTCTTTGTCAGTAAGCTCATCTGGGTCATGAGAGTGGCTATGTTTTCTGCATTTGAATTGTTTGGGTCAAGAACAGAATGCACTATTGGTGTGAGTGTCATACCTCTCATCATCCAGCCTGAATTCTGAGCCATCTTGTCAAGAAGAATCTTACACTCTGTGAATGTTTTGCTCAAGAATGCGCCCCCAGCTGAAGCATCTACATTGGCCTTCAGACTGTCTGCCAACCCCATATAGAATCTCTGTCCCAACATGTGATCTGGAATGCCATGGTGTGGATACTTCACTAGCATACCCTTAAACCTCTCCTAGGTTTCTTGCAAGGTCTTAGTCGATTTCTGCCTGTACTGCAATATCTCATCAATTTGCCTCGCAGTTTTGTTGGGAGGATAGAACTTGTTTAAGAACTGCTTGACTAGTTCCTCCCAAGTAGCAATAGAGTTTATTGGGAGCGAATTCAGCCAAGTTTGAGCCTCCCAGTCATTGGGAATGGGAACAGTAATAGTTTAATTGCTTCAGGAGTCACATTCGGCTGTCTTTGAGTGACACAAATTGATAGAAAGTTCTTCAGATGTTGTTGTGGGTCTTCGATGTACGACCCAGAGAACAACCCCTTATTCTGCAACAGGTGCAGCATGTTGTTGGTAATCTGAAATGTCTCCGCTTGTATCTGAGGAACTGCAATTGCGGTGGCCATGTTATCAGTAGTTGGTTGTGCCCAATCATAAAGAGCAGCTTCCGGCATAAGAGGTGCTACCACTCCATTGTTTGGGTCAACACGATCATTCCTAATTTTTCCGTTGATGTTGTCCACATCATCCATCTCAATTTCGAGTTGGTCTTTTTGTTTTAACTGTTTGTCCTTCTTGTTAGCCCGATTCAATGCCCTGAATGCGTTCTCGGGATCTGAGAGTCCTTCAAAAAGTTCACCAGTCCTCAAGGAGCTTCTAGGCATGCACCTGAGTCACAGAAGAGTTCAAACGTGAGAATTTCAATGGAAATTTTTAACACCACAGAAAATTGATCTAAACTAAAAATCACTTTAAGGGGGAGTGTGAAAAAAATAAATAAAGTTGTTTTTTGGGAAAAATATAGACTTCTCTAGAATGTCCTAGTGTAGTATCCTTGATATTTATCTAGTAGACACATCTAGATATTCTAGAATGTTGTGGGAAGATAAGGTTATCTAGTAAACTCATCTAGATATTCTAGAGTGTTGTTAGAAGATAAGGTTTGCTAGAATCTTCCTTGTACATTATCTAGAATCATATCTAGAATCATCCATAGGCAAGTATAAATAGGGGGTGTCTTGTTCATTTGTAATCAAGCCAAATTGAAGAAAGTCTTCTTCAATAACAAATTTCTCCTTTCAAGAATCTCTCTTCTCTTTTCAAGCTTCTTCTTCTTTAGTTGAATCCTCCAATCTTAGTTAACGATCTTGGGCTAGCAGAAGGTCCCAGAAAAATACTCTTCTTCTGCTATTCTTTACGGGCACAAGACCATTTTGAGAATGGTGAGTGGTCTAGTGGTGGAAATTGTAAAAGTACGGAACCAGTGAAGGAAGGTGAGTTCAATTTGAGCGAGATTACCAAATTCTACATGATTACTCTGCCTAAAATTACATGATTCAAAGGAGGTTCAATTGAATCTCCTTTGCCACTGTGAAAACAAGATAATAAAAACAATTTTCAATACTATAAACTGTTGAATCTTGTAACATTTCTAGTGTAGTGAGCAAAGTGACTTAAGTCACACACTTGAGTACTCTATATGGCATTGTCTCTACGCCACTACCGCTCCAACGGATAGAACTGCATTTCTTGAACCCCTTGAATGTCCAAAAGAGAAAATTGATCTTTTAATTACTCTGCTACAACTGCTACCTTCACTAGGACTAACATCAGGAACTTTACTCTGCTGCTGTACAAGCTCTTCAACTATCAAGTAAAGTCGTCCATTGGCTGCTGAATCCATAGAGAAAGATCTCCTAATGGGCTGGACTGCAAATTGTTCATCTTTTTTCCTTATGTTAATGCACTCATCCCCATGCTTGAAACATGACTAAACTTTTTTGTTTTCTTTCTTGAAATTTTCGGATCAATTTGTCTAGAAGTAGGGCTAATCAAGAAATGCCCTGATAATGTTGGATTCGCAGGAATAGTATTGTTTTCTGCTATTTCTATTATAACATAATCTTCATCTCTGCCTGTGAAATTATCAAAGTAAGGATATTGATCTTGACGGAGCATAGTTGTTATGGCTGATGAGATGCTGGTTCTGCAAAGTGGACAATTTGCATTATTTTGAAGCCAAACATCAATACAATCAATGTGAAAGACATGACCACAATTTGGAATTTTCCTTAGTTTCTCATTGTCTTGGAAGTCATTCAAACAAACAACACATTCACACGAACATCTGGTTTTCTCCCCAAGTATTATTGCATTCTTTCCTTCCCTTTTCTTGTACTGAAAAATGGGGATTGATCGAATTACAGATTCGTCTAGTCCGTGATTTTCCACTGCAGGGGAGTAAATTGTTAATGGATCTTCAACACGACGCCTTCCAGAGTAAGAAAACTGCCTCAAAAGATCAATTGTGTGCCAATTCAAACAACATTTTATGACAAAAATGTAGTAACTAACCAGTAAGAAACCAGTGGCCAATATACCCATGATGGCGACGATTATGGTTGGAAAGCCTGCATGTGAAGAAGAAGTTGGAGGACTTTTAATGGGAGAAATGGATTCAGAGTAGTTTTGAGTCACCAGATTCATGAGATAAGTTATGTAAACAAAAAGAGGGAAGAAATGTTAAGTAGTTTGGACCTTGAATGCACATGAACATGGTACGAAAGCTAAGTGTCAAATAATTGATCGATGAGAACAAAAATGTGGTGGAAGTAACGAAAAGCTTATTGGAGAAATAGTACTGAACTACTAATACTATCAAAGGAGACAACAAATGAAATGAACGAACACGTAAGAATTAAGGAATTGCTCCATTTTAATGCGAGGGGGAGGAAAAAGACAGAAGGATCAAAGTCTGAACGTAGAGGACATAGTTGGTGAATATTGTCTCTGCCTTCAATTAGAAAAGCTTAAGTCAATTTATAATTTAAAAGATATTGTAATTTAATCGATTTTAACGAATTACTCATTTTTTCAGATGATCAGCTCATTAATAAAGACACTTGTAATTGCTTTTCAGATGATCTATTTATAAAAATTTACATCATCAATGTATGGAACTATCCAAATCTAGAGCTATGGCATTCTTTGGAAAGTGATTAAGGGAACATTTGATAAGTTAATCCATCCTTAATCATCAAGGAAGAAACCAAAACATTAAAGTTTTCTATGGCACATGCAACCCACAACTGATGAAAAAATAACCTACCACCCATCCCCAAACATGGGGTTGAAGGCACATATCTAGACTTATATTCACATGCATGATTAGGGGCGGATATGCCAAGCCGCCCCAAGCAGTTTCAAGTAGTAGGAGATATCGTTCGATTTTTTTTTAGTAGATATGTGTATAGTTAATCAATAAAATAAATTTATTGGGTATAAATGTGAAAAATAATACTATTGATTGTCATTATAATGATATTGTTAAAAATTGTAGCTCAAAGTAACAATATAAAACAAGAAGATAAGTAGAATAAGAGAAGAAGAGATTCATCAAGTGTTCAAGTGTATTCCATCTCACATTTCATGCCTCTATTTATACTATTACATATGAAGGTTACAAAATCATTGTCTTAAACATGGCATTAACAATTGAGATCATGGGGGAAGATCATGGGGAGGGGTTATGGAGGTGTGGGAGTTACAATCATAATGGTGATGAGTAGTGGGAGGTAATTTACATCATGGGTGAAAGTAGTGGGAGTAGTGGACATCCACATTTACTAAATATTTTGTAACAGATATATTCATTTGTTTAATTTTTAAAATACTAGTTTCTCTACATGTGCGTTGCACGTAAATTTCCATGTCATTTTTAGGCATTTATATATATTAAAAATTAATTAATGCATATATATATTTGAAAACATTTAATTTAATTGAATACTAATTTATAAATTAAAATGTACCAAAAGCTAGAATTCTCGTGTAATCTTAAGATATTTTATGAATAAAATCATAAAAATATACTCTTTGACCAACTCTATTTCTGTTCTTCTAGCCATTTGTGATATTCTCCGTATCCTTCATCCATACTAATATCAATTGTCTTGTCAAGGTTGGTTGCTATTCGCTGACTTCAATTTTGCTCTAATCATATTTTGGAGCCAAAGATTGAATTTCCCATTTTTCCTAAGCATACAACACATGTTCATCCAACCTTCCATACATTGTGATGCCTGATTACACACATAAGCAGAAAGGATAATGATTGTAATCTAATGGAAATAGAGTAAAAATGTCAAAATAAGGAGTTGAAACCATTTTGCAAAATGAAGAAAACAATAAGGAAAGTGAAAATGTCCAAAAAATTTAATCCAACAGATGTCTCGTAACAATAATTACTGCTATCCATTAGTACATATTTATAAGGGAATCATGAACTTCAGAGCATTTTCTTAAAC